ACCAAATTTTTGTACGCATGGGTGGTTATTACTTTATTATTCTTATTAGGTGAATAATTTTTTTAATTTTTTTACAAGTATTCTTTGTCCAGCTCGCCCATTCGCGCACCCCCCCCCCCATTTTCCTTTTCACGTGGCACCCACGGCGTATGAAGTGTCTCCGCTGTTCTCTGGACAAACTCTTTTATTGCAGATGGGTGGGTCCTAATGTGTGACGATGGGTTCAGGCAAGGGGCATAAATATTGGCCAAAGTAGCGTGACGACATTTATGAATGCCACCCCCACCCCCCTTTTTTCCCAACCATGAAAGATAATAAGATTGCTTAAATGAATTGGGGAGATATTTAATGAATTGGTCATAAAATCAATAGTACAGGAGCATATTGCTAACTAATGTCATAAAATACTAGCAGGTCTAGTAATTAGGCGTACTTTACGCTGCATAAAACTATGGTGTCATAGTTAAAACTATTTGGGAGGCACCCTGGTTACACAACCCTAACCCTAACCCTGCTTACACAAAGTGTAATGGACGCCGGAATGGCTCGACTCAGAGAGGCGTAGCGAAGAGTGGGGGGGGGGGATGGAGAGATGTCCCCGGGCGCCAAAAGGGGCTTTGAAATTATTATTTTTTTTTTTATTGTTGAAAATAATGTGTTTGAGAGTTGAAAAAAGGAAAAGGGGGAAACCCTAACCCTAACCCTGCTTACAAAAAGTGTAATGGACGCCGGAATGGCTCGACTCAGAGAGGGGTAGGGAAGGGGGGGGGGGGGGGATGGAGAGATGTCCCCGGGCGCCAAAATGTGCTTTGAAATTATTATTTTTTTTTTTATTGATGAAAATAATGTGTTTGAGAGTTGAAAAAAGGAAAAGGGGGCGCTTTAAAATGAATCTTGTCCCTGGGCGCCAAACACTCTAGCTACGCCTCTGGCTTGACTACACCTCTGCCTCCAACGGCAATTCATTTATGTTAAAGGTATTTTGGAATACAAAGGCAAGGTTGTTTTTTTGTTGTTGTTTTAATAGAGTCAGTGTTCACTGCTTTGGGGTTAATTGAACTCTAAAAGAAACATCAATCACAGTTAGAAATTACAAGTTTCAGACCTGTCGAATCAAAAGACTTATGTGAATTTTGGATGTATAAATATGAACCAGCTAAAAGTGAACAAAAAAAATCAGGATTTATGAAAGTGTCACTGTCAGTCAGACAATATTAACAAATTTAATTATTTGAATTTGAGTACTCTTGTTTTTAATGACTTGACCTATTATCTGACAAAGTCTCCCATGACTGACCCCCCCCCCCAACCCCGGTCGTGACTGACTGAAATTAAGCAGATGCCCAAGAGAACACCAAATATTTAATTATACCATTTTTAGTATTTGAAGCCGAACACTACAGAGATACCCCCCAAAAATGTGCATTATTTCATAGTTGCTATGAAACGAGCTATTGACCACATAGCTTACTTAACCCAATTAAGTTAGAAATGAATTACTATATTATACTTAATACCAGTAAGTAGTGCATTTAAAAATTATTGTAGATACTAAATAGTGAAATATTCCACAATCCGAATATTTACTCTCTAAACCTATACTGAAACAAAAAATCATTCACACTTGCCAAGAAGAAACAAAACAAAAATTATAATTTATGTTCAATTTCTTTTAATGCCATTAAAAAAAAAAAAAATTCTATCAACATCATCAAGATTCATCCTCATCATCTTCTGGTTCAGATTCCTCGCCCTCCAACATTTTAGATTCATCTGCATCATCATCCTTTTTGCTTTCATCTTTCTTAGCTGAGGAAGAAAATTCAAAATTGATGTTAAATTTTGAAGACAGGCAGAGGTATGATCTACTAGCTGTTATCAGTTCAGCTGAGTTTAATTTAGAATGTAGGTCAAATATAAAGAATCAAGTTAACAGTGATCTCCATTCATCTAGGTCAGAATTTCCAAAACATTTTGGACAAAGAGATTTACCATGTAATTATAGTGCAAGTTCTTTTGAATATGCACAAAGTCCCTGATGCCAGTTCTTACTACTACTACTGCAGCCCAATTTATGCCATTATGCACTTGACAAATTTTTACCATTATGCACTGGACAAAGTTATACCATTATGCACTGGACAAAGATTTACATTAAGCATGAGACAAAGTTATACCATTATGCACTAGACAAAGTTATACCACTATGCACTTGACAAAGTTATAACATTATGCACTGGACAAAGTTATAACATTATGCACTGGACAAAGTTATACCATTATGCAATAGACAAAGTTATACCATTATGCACTAGACAAAATTATACCATTATGCACTAGACAAAGTTATACCATTATGCACTGAACAAAGTTATACCATTATGCACTGGACAAAGTTATACCATTATGCACTGAACAAAGTTATACCATTATGCACTGGACAAAGATTTACCATTCTATAAACATTGAAATTGTTAATGAAAAGAGCAACAGATTTATCTTGAAGGGTCGTCTACCTGGTCTTAAACATACTTGACAAGATATGGTCATGGGGTTTAATTCACCTTTGTAATATTTTAAATTTCCATTAAAATGATTTATTGCCGGCTGTGACTATTCCTACCGGGGTACCAGAATTGAGAGGTTGGGATTAAAAAGCTATTTAAAATATTATTGTTGGGCTTGTAAAACAAAATGAGGTATCAAATGAAAGATAATTGTATGGGCTATATGTTTGTAAACGTACTTCTTCGGTTTAACTAAAATAAACTACCACAAATGACATCCGAGTAGCTTGAGTCTAATGGTACCCGGGTGCGAATGGCGGCGCTGCGTGTCTGGGCCCATTATGACTCAGTGCTATATATATATTTATAATCAGAGAATACTTTATTCGTTTTATTTCTTGATAAAATGTAAAAAGTAAAATTTTTAAAAAAATACATACGCCAATAAATTTTCTATTATAGCTTCACTTACGTTTTACTCGAACTTTGGTTGGCACAATGTGTTCAGGCCGATCATCAAAACGTTTCCACTTGCCAGTATTACTCCACATGCCATCGATTGTGATGTGAAACTCTGACATTTGGTGGCCAAATAATTTCTAGATTGAGTAAATAATTTATACATCATGGTGTACACGTACAGATTGAACAAACCTTTAATTTAATCAATAATTTGATTCTAAAACAGAGCTTTAAACATCTTTTATCTAGAGTCACACTGAAACACTGGATAATTGACTTGATTGAAAAAGTATCCAAGTTAATGCTTGATAGTTTAATGTCTTACTTTCGCAATAACAAATTGTAGTGTTTACAGATAGTTTATTGATTTCATTATTTCATGAATTTAGATGTGTCACTTACAAGTATTCTGCATTGTTCAGGATTTAAAACTTGTCCCTTTTCACAAACTGTGTGATCTTTCAATAAGTGAATAACACCTGGGAGAAGAAGGTGAAAGGTGAGTAACAGATAACAAAACCAAAGCTGCTAGGCCCTGTATGATGTCAACACCTGGGAGAAGAAGGTGAAAGGTGAGTAACAGATAACAAAACCAAAACTGCTAGACCCTGTATGATGTGAGTGCTGGTGTCATGGGCAATGGGCTGTGAAACACACAAAGGTGGGCATTAAAGAGGACAAACTCATGCCTCTGTGCTATTCATTCAATTATAATAGATTATGCATATGAGTGGATCTTTATTCATTAATATATGATACGTTTAGCTAATATGTCTCAATTATTCTTCTCTGCAGTGTTTTTACTGTTCATCCCATTAATTATTTACACAAATTGTTCGTGTCTTATCAATCTACTAAAAATATCTATTGCAGGCCAGCCCTGTTCATCCCAGTATGATAATCTTTTGTTTGAAATGTAATGGATTTTAGTATTGTTTTAAGTTTTGCACATAATTAGCTAAGCGTATCTGAAAACAGTAGGTATATTAGTTTTGGTCTGGTTAATGTCTGGTCACCAGGGTATTAACTCTTAGATTTCATTTAGCACAGCCAAGCTTCATTATCCAACAGGGGAGAGGAGTACCTAATTTTTTTTTATGTGACAGGTGGTTCATTGTGAATATTTGAATTTGGCATTGATCTCGATCCCTTTCCCAGACAGACAACAACAATATTCACCTCTTTTAAGTTGTGTAGGTAATCCAAGCTGTCTGAGTTGTGGTTCCAGTGAGTGGCTGAATTCAGCAAGTGGACCCTCTTCCAATAAAACTGTCTGGGTGGCTACAGTGCCAGATCTAGCATAGTTGGGGACGTACAGCTCATCAAAGTATCTAATTCAGAGAAATGGTGCCAAGAATTACTCAAATGTAATCAGTACAAGGCTAAAAAGCAAAATATGCAGTTCAAAAATGATTTCTTGAAAGCTCATATAGAGTGGTGAATGATAAAATGAAAAGAAGACTTCTTCCCACCAAACAAATTTCTATCAGAAGGATGGATATATGATTTAGAAATAAAAAAACTGTCAAAGTAACTATTACTAAGATTTATGGTACTTATAGTAATGCTTTGACATCAAAGTTTAAAAAATTTGAACAAAAATTGACAAATGATTTCACAAACAATAAATCTTGCAATAGAACAGACACTTATATTTTCAAACATTGCCATAAAATTAACGATTTTAATGTTAGTTTTTGCCCACTAAGCAAACAATGTTATTTTTGCCCACTAAGCAAACAATGTGTGGTTGCTTTGTCTACCAGCTTAAATTGAACAGTAGGGCAATTGTAAGTATAAAATTAACTAAGATATATTTATTTACACACTATGCTGATAAAAAAATGCACTCTAAGCTACTGAGTAACAAAAGGATTAACTTCATTTCAACTCTTAAACAAAATCAATGGATCAACGTGGAGAAATTATTGATAATTACTAACTGAATTATATAACTGAACAAGGACCTAGTTTAAAATTATCAACTAAATATCATTATGGCCATTTAAATTTATAAATGATAATTTAAAGAAATTTCCATACCTAACCTCAAATGCACATCCAATACAATTCAAGCAGGACTAATTTCCCCACATAGCAATTTGCCAAAATAAATCTAGTGCATTTAAGCCCACTTTTTAACCTGACTAGCCTGTCTGCCCCGTGATGCAACTGTATTAATTTCTGCCTCTCCAAGCAGCCATAATGGCTTCAAATTTGGCCAAGATAGTCCCCAGCTTTGGGTAAATAGTAAGCTATGGGACTGATAAATTAGAAAATTTGAAACGAGAGCTGGTTAAATTTATATAAATATGTCTTAATTGTTAGGTGAAAAAATGCAATTGACTTCTTCATATTTTAGATAAACTGTAACACTCTAGTTATGCTCTCTGCGACTTTTGCTTAGATGATAACATTTGCTTCCTCTGTCACTTGTACCCAAACAATCAGGTAACAAACAACATGATGGTTATGGCCTGCATTTCTCTGAGTAATAATATGATTCAAGGGTGCGGGGTGGCTGAGTGGTCTAAACTGAGCAAATCTCAAGTTGGTGGTCTGGAGTTCAATTCCAACCAAAGCCCAGTCAAGCAAAAACATCACCAGCACCACGGGTAGATGCGACTCGTTAACCTTGGATGGCAACTCATCTAAGAGAAGGAAACTCTGAAATCAAAACCGGACATGGAGTCCCGAAAGGCTGATAACATTGGTACAATGAAACATTCTGAAATCTCCTGCGACTGGTGCCAAACTGTATCATCCAAATGATGTTCCTTTGGGTATCCAGCGGAGTGGAGAGAGGCGATTTGCTGTTGGGAACCAGCTAATAATCCTTGAAGGATAATCCCAGGCCGTGTGCATTTTGTCCTCCGAAGCCCACACCATCGTCACGGATGCCAGCAAAAAAAAATAATAAAAATATGATTCACTCTCACGTCTCTGCTACTCAACTCTGACTGTCCCAGCTCATCTCTCTACCGTCCAAGTTAGCCTGAACTGCACTGCTCTACTGTACTCTCTCTTCTCTGCTCTCCGACTGAGCCGTCCAGCTAACCACTACTGCTCTCCGACTGAGTCCCCCAACTGACTACCACTGCTCTCCGGTCCCCTTTTATTAGTACCCCTGATTCCCTCTCAGAACCATCTATTTCTACATCTGTGCTACGAACTGTTTCTCCGCCCCGGTACTATGAATCACTCCATGCTTCCCGCTATCTACATAGACATTTCATATTAACCAGCCACCCTTGATTGATAACTAATGTCTGTGTTGATTGCAATCCAATATTCCTACTCATTGCACCCAATGAAAGGTGTGGCATAAAGCAGTGTAGGAATGCCCCACACCTCGGTCTGCATGGACTATTCTCATTAACTAGTCACAAGCCTCTGCATTCCAAATCCTCTTGATTTATAACTTGATTGTCAAAGCTGCACCAGCCTCATGCTGGTGCAATCTGATACAACAGACCTGTTTACTCTTACGATTTTGGCATACAATGTACGATTTTGAGGTTTATATGTTATAAATACTCTGTGGTTTTTTTACTATTAAGATAATTTATTGAATGATTTTGTGATATTGTACGATTTTAAGAATTTGAGGGTAAACAGGTCTGGATACAATATGACAGGCGGTCAGTGTCCGGTTATAACTGTGCGAATTCTCCACTCACCTTCTCTAAATGAATTTCCCACACCTCAGTCTGCATGGACAATTCTCAATAACTAGCCACAAGTCTCAGCATTCCAAAGCTCTTTGTTTATGACCATGTCACTGTCACATTTGTACGAGCCTTGTCCTGATGCAATCTGATACTGATACATTACGACAGGTGGCCAGTGTTTAGTCTTTGTACCTTTAGGAATTCTCCACCCACCTGCACTAGCCAAGTTAGGATTCTCCTCCTACCTGCACTAGCCAAGTTAGAATTCTCCTCCTACCTGCACTAGCCAAGTTAGATTCTCCTTCTACCTGCACTAGCCAAGTTAGATTCTCCTCCTACCTGCACTAGCCAAGTTAGGAATCTCCTCCTACCTGCACTAGCCAAGTTAGGATTCTCCTCCTACCTGCACTAGCCAAGTTAGGATTCTCCTCCTACCTGCACTAGCCAAGTTAGGATTCTCCTCCTACCTGCACTAGCCAAGTTAGGATTCTCCTCCTACCTGCACTAGCCAAGTTAGGATTCTCCTCCTACCTGCACTAGCCAAGTTCGGATTCGCCTCCTACCTGCACTAGCCAAGTTAGATTCTCCTCCTACCTGCACTAGCCAAGTTAGATTCTCCTCCTACCTGCACTAGCCAAGTTAGGAATCTCCTCCTACCTGCACTAGCCAAGTTAGAAATCTCCTCCTATCTGCACTAGCCAAGTTGAGATTTTCCTACCACCTGCACTAGCCAAGTTAAGATTCTCCTCAATATCCTAATTTAGCCTCTCCAAATACACACTAAATACATTAGAAATTCATAGTATTTTTAAAATGTATTGTCAAACATTGAGATCTAGCAAGCCCCTTTGGCTAATTAGCTCGGTTTTGGTCACCCTGATATATATATGTTCTATTATTTTTGTTGAGGTGCTCCATACTTTAAAACAGACAAAAATATAGAGGCATTAGAGCAAACAATCTCTGAATTAATCTCACTTCAATACTTCTTTTTCCTTTGAATTTGTGAACAGCAATCCTGTCTGTCCTTGTAAATGCTGTGTCAGTTTGTGAAGATTCTCTCTATACTCCTCATCTTCAGTTCTTCCCAGGGCAAGTTGCATGACTTTATTTTTACCAAAAAAGAACCTGCAATGAGAATGCGCAATTGTTATACTCTTTTTGTTTTACCGGCCTGGTTCTGTTCCTATTAACTGAAAATGCTTTATACTATAAAAAGTTAGTAGTGCAGCTTAGCATGATTTTTCAATAAATATCCTGATTACCATTAAACAACAAAGCTGAATTGGCCACCAAGCGTTAGTGGCTTCAAATTTTGACAAAGATATTTCCTGTTCTGGGTTAAAATCCACATAGAATGGATTTATCAGACCAGCCGGGCAGTTAAATCCTAAGAGGAAGATGATTGGGGGGGGGGGGGGGGGGGGGGGGGGGGGGTTGGTTGGTTGGTTGTTTGAGGGTTTGGTACAAAATCTGAATAGTAACTTCTGGAACTTACACAAAAATTATTAATGGCGTCTTCAACTTGCTTTCTCAAGTTTTGTTCCACAAGAGACAGCTTGTTTATTACTAATCATAGAAGGGGCTTGGTGAAAACAACAGTGAGCCTTATGCAGAAAGTGCAGACATTTATTAACACATGCCTTAGAAAGATCCTGAAAATCAAGTGGCCAAATACTATCATTAACAAAGATCTACTAGAAAGGACATACCAGGTGCCCATCGATGAAGATTTCATAAAGAAAAGATGGAGATGGATAGGGCATATGCTCTGAAAAAAAAACCCTATTGCACCACAAGACAATGTCTAAAATGGAACCCACAGGGAAAAAGAGAGGAAGGCCTAAGAATACATGGAGACGAGAGCTAGAGGCAGACACGCAAAATATGGGATAAACCTGGAAGCAATTGGAAAGGAAAGCACAGGACCGTGATGAGTGGAAAATTCTTGTAGATGGCCTATGCCCCAGACGGGGTAGAAAGGCCTAAGTAAGTAAGTAAGGGGCTTGGTAATGGGATCATCTAGTAAATCAATGAAAGGAGACCATTTGGGCTTATTATAATCCTATATTGTCTGTGAAAGAATTTTCAGAACTGCTTTATAAATTTTTCTTCACTTTGAGCTACCTAGTTGTCATGTTTATTACATACATTACATTTAAAAGCAAAATAATACAGAGTGTGAATACAACAGCCAGAGTTGAAAAGGGAGTTCACATGGATGCTATAAGAGCAAATGTAAACAATTTTACAAAGTCTATGTTGAAAATATGCAACATGCACAAATATACGGTACTATTCAATGGACTGATCAAAACTAAAAATGTGCTTGTAAATATGCTAACATGCCTGTAAATTTATAAAGGACATGTGCATTTTATTTTGTAACCTGAATTAATGCTAATGAAATAAATAGAACTCTTCGTTTTTATAATATTCAACATAACCTAATTATACCCAACATAACTATATCCCAAAGTTTTATGCTAACTTGCTCATTGTCATGAATATTATACTTTTAACAGTCTGATCTTCTACTTTTCCCTAACAAAATCAATTTTCAGTTTAAATAACAATAATAATAAAGGTTATTTGAAAATCACGCTTTATCCCCAAAGGCTCGAAGCGCTGTATAAAGTCAAACATATTAAAAGGGAAATAAAACAATCTATATTTTACCACATTGAAGTACAAAACGCAACATTACAAAAACTACATACAAGCATACCCATTCTAAATCTTTCATCCCTTGCAACCATAAACAACACAAGCCAATATACATCTAGGAGACAATAGCTAGCTGTAAAAGACGGTAGACAACATCACCCCAGCAGGTGTTTGCGAAATAGATGTGTTTTCAAATCGGTTTTGAAGGACTCCAGTGTCTGGCTGTTTCTGAGAGCAACAGGAAGGGTGTTCCAAACTGTTGGGCCAGCAAATGCGAAAGTGCGCCTTCCGTAAGTCTCAAGGCGAACACGTAGTATCGAGAGTTTGCCACTATCTGATGAGCGTTACATAACATACATAAGGTGTCATGAGTGCTTTGAGATAGGAAGGCCCCAGGTCATGCAAGCAGCGGTAGCACAGAGTTGCAATTTTGTACTCTATGCAAGCGCGTACCGGCAGCCAATGCAACTCTCTCATACTGTATACAGCAGCTACTTTGTTGTTGTAGCTTGTAAAACTAAAAGTGTACCCAATTACTTTTTAAAAATTAAGAGTGAGAAACTCACCTGCTGTGATTCCATTCTTGCCGAATTTCTTTAAGTTGAACATTTCTCATGTTATGTACAGAAAATGTGAATATTCTTGCATATTGATCAGCTGTTTCACGAATCTGATTTTTTTCAAGATAGAATAGTTGAAATTTTTGTTAATGGTTCAGATTTTGAAAATTTCTCTTTAATTTTGCAAAATGTTTTTATTTAATAAATAAATTTTATTTACTTTCTCTAACTTTCAAATTTCTTTTATTTCCAAATTTACACCAAAATAATATTCATTTGTTGCAGGCATTAACAATGTATCAAGTTGCAATTCTTAAAATAATTTTTACTTTAATTTTATGCTCTTTAAAATTGTTATTTCCAAATTGAAGCATTTCTCTGCAGACTTAAAAATAACCTAAATGTCCTTATAATTTATATTAATAAAATTACATGATTAAAAACACTGCTCAAGGATGCCAACCTTTTCTATCAACTTCTGCTTCAGCTCCAAACCCTTTTTCCTAGTCTGTGTAAGTGAAACTGAAATAAAATATTATATGTATTAATTAATTTTTAAAATTAAAATTTATTTGAGGAAGGTTATCATGACGATGTTTGGTGAAGTATGAGACTTCAAGGGTTGATCAGGTTAGGGCAGTTAAAAAGTGGCAGCAATATTTTCCAACGTATCAGCTCAAGCAACTAAAATCGATATTAACAAGTCACGATGAAACTTAATTAAACAACTATCTTTTCCTGTCATTTTCATTTTATTAAGCTTAAAAAATATCATACCTCTGTAACTTTCCATTACTAGAATTTAAGAAAAGAAAATCTATTCCATTTCACTCACTTACATAACTAACTAGTCTGTCAGTGACTCTGAATACCCCAGACATGGCATGCAGAGAGATTATCATTCATCAATTTCAATGGCCCACAGAAGACCAACAGATAATATTAAATGACCTTTAAAAAGCATCCTAGGGGCCATACATAAATGACATCACAAATCTTGGGAGGGGTGGCATACCTCCCACCAAATCCAGCCCACCTTGGATTTTGCCAACATTTAGTCAAACTACTAATATCTTGTCAATATATTAACATTTTGTCAAAATACTATAACTAACAATAACAATCAACGAAATATTCTTCATCATTATTATTTTCTTAGTCTTAATAGCGTTCGCCCATGTCCTATTTAGCCTATTATATTACGGCCCACACAAGTTTTCCATAAAGTATTACACGGCCCGCCTTACATTTTGAGTTGTGCAGGCCTGGTCTATAATATTCTAAAACTAAAAAACTTATTTATTTTGTATGAGGAACGGGGTGGTCAGAAATGGGCCAAAACATCATTGAATGATCATTAATCATAATCCTAATCCTAGTTACGATTGCCACGACTTATTTTCCAGGGAGTAACTTCCATTTGTTTATTTTTACTAAATTATTTTAGGGATCGATTTAGGGTTCAGGTTAGGCATAGGGATCGATTTAGGGTTCAGGTTAGGCATAGGGATCGATTTAGGGTTTCGGGTTAGGCTTAGGGATCGATTTAGGGTTCAGGTTAGGCATAGGGATAGATGACTTCACGTGACGTGTTAACCAAGATGGCGGCCATTGAGAAAATAGTGGCAATCGTAGTCAAAATTTACCCATTAATCATATGAATACGTCATGTCCATGTATTTATGATTAGCCTAACTTAAAACTTTGCCATAATAAATAATTCGGTAAATGTTCAGAAAGGATGCCACTATTTTCTCAATGGCCGTCATCATAGTTGACAAAACCAGTTAATTCTGTCACTAAATCTAAGTAAATGTATCCCTTAACCTAAATAAAATGAGTAAAACAGAGTATGGTTAAACCTGAAAAATTAAACGCAACAAAACAGCGAACGTGTCGGCAGAAAGCCTTCGTCAGCGAACAAAACAACAGAAAAAACGTTATAAAAATAAGAAATAGCACTTAGCTGGTAAGTAGTATCTGTGGGCAGCAATAGAAGCAATCCCTTAACCTAACCCCTATATGTATCCCTAAACCTAACCAGAACCCTAAATGTATCCCTAAACCTAACCTGAACCCTACAAATTTATCCCTAAACCTAACCTGAACCCTAATTCACAGCAACTTAAATAAAAAATGCAGGTAATCTTGCAGTTCAGATGCGTATATTATTTCTTAACGAATTTCGTGTTATTGCATGTAATCTTACGTGTATTCTTTCTAAAATGTATTCTAGACAGTATTAGTTAGCCCTAAAACTAAATTGTACAGCAATAACTTTTCTTTTTATTGATTTTTACAGCCCCCATTAGTACATAGCCGATAGCATAAACGATCTCTCCATTTTATTGTTTTTTTAATACACCCTACATGACAGAAATAAGATTTATATTAAATTATACCCAAATTATTTATTGATGCTTAACTTTTAAAACTAAAAGCATGTTCACAAAATAAATTTATATAAAATTGACGTGTATATTGGCTAGTTTTAGGAAAAGTTAAAATTATGACTTCATTATTAAACTTCAGTACCGGTTTTTGAATATGGATAAGTGTTATTATGTGTACAATGTTTGATCTCATTCCATTCACCCATGCCCATGCAGGAGCTTTTGATTGGAATTATATTTATACACCCCATATAAGTATAAGGAAAAAAAATTTTTGGGCCCCTATAAAAAAACGAAGTGTCCACACGTCCGGCACGCTGGACAAATAGTGCGGGAGATATACGTACGGCGGGGAATGTCACGTGACCGCCGGCCGACTAGTAGGTTTTATTATTCTGGCAGGTCAAGTGACAAGTGGTCGCCTGCAAAATAGTTGCATTGCATTTTATAACTGATATTCCAATATGGTGTACATATATAAGCCAGCCGATCCCTAGATAATAAATTAATGCTGAACATGTCAAATGCTCTGAGATACAAAAAGTGTTTGAGTTTGAATATTAAACTAGTCGGCCTAAATACTGACTAGTAGTAGGTTTAGGCCTATTATTACTAGTCTATTTGATTCCAACTCTTCAATGAAGAAAGTCCCATAACTTGGTTAAACATCTTGTAAAGCCCTACCTTGAAGCCTAAATTTAAAATATGAACCAAATAAAATAAGACCAGTAGACTAAATCAGACATGGTTGTAGTTCAGGATTAGTATTTAGTTATGTTATGAGAAGAAGGCTAGGTTACCACTATACCGGCGCGCCGGACGTGTAGACACTGCCATAAAAAAAGGAACATCTAATTAAGTTCAAGACTCCTCTTCACGCCGTATTTATTTCATTCTTTTTGTGAACATGGCTACAATTTGAAAATTTCGTTTAGCATACCAATTTATACTTATTGATAAAAAATCTGGCAACAGGGTTAAAAAAAAAAATAAAGGTTGGAAGGTTCGGGGATGTTCAAAGACGCTTTAGAAATAAAATAAAATAAAAATTATTTGCGATGTATGTTTCATTATTAGTTATTAGTTAACTATCACTGCCTGGATTTAATTTAATGAAGAATACACGTAAGTTTACACGCGATAGTACGAAATTCGATCAAAAATAATATACGCACCTGAACTGCAAGATTACCAACTGCCAACATGCAAATGACGTCGTGGCATCCAATCCCCACATTAGCCAATAATCCAATATTACAAATGATAGCTTACTCCTGACATAAACACCCATTTTAGTGAGACACACGGAAGACAGAACAGAGACCAACTCGACACTGCTGCCAGTCTGTCCCTGTACTCAACTGTAGATTAGTGTTCTCAGCACTGTTCTGACTTCTTGGACTTGGAGAAAGCTTTCAGGCCTTTGCCTTTCCTTTCATCACGCTCCTAACCTAAACTAAATTGAAAATTCTAATCCTATCTACTTATTTATATAAGCTTTATTTTATCTTCCTAAATTAGTATATTTACTTACCTTTTTTATCTCTTTTAGATTTAGGCATGGTATTTTAGGTAAATTGCTAATGCAGACTTATAGTATATTTTGATTTTTTTTAAAAACACGTGTTTACAACCAATCGCAAAAGAAAAACAAAACTAGGGGAAAGGATGTGAGATGTGGGCGTGGAATGGAAATAAAAATGGTGGAAAGAAAAATACACGGACTAAATCATAAAAACTCTTAAAGCATAGATAAAATTAATCAATTTTTAGACTGTCGTAAAGTTCAAATTACAAAGTTCCCAAATATTTTTATTCCGTTTAAAATTATTTTTCTCATGAAAGGTCAATTGTTCTATCAAAGAGAGATAACAATATCTAAAATAATTAGCACTCATACTGTCCAAATGTGTGGGGCGGGGGTGGACCACTTCCCTTACACATTAAAAAAAAAAAAATTGCAAAAAATAAAACTCAAACATGGAGCGGAGTTTGACTATATGCATTAGTGTTGCTGGATCTGGCTTGCAGCTTCGGTTTATTCAGCCCACCGTGAGCTTATTTAGTTCAATCAACAAAATCGTTTTTATTTACCAAAAAAGGAAATCAATATAAATTATCATGTGACAATGATGTTTATGTCTTTATACACCCAATAAAATCAAGAAGATTCAGCTTTTTGTTTTAATTCTGAAATGCAAAGTTCTTATCAGTTGATATACATGAAATGGAATTTTCATCTCATCTAATTTTGAAAAAAATGGGGAATTCCTGATATCCAATGGAGATGAAACGTTTTAAACTTATCCACCCCTTATGATAATACAACGCTTCATGATCAGTTTGTCACCAGTGACCTCAACTGCCCTTGAGTGAACCCTGCACGTCAAATCTTGAATCTCAATTTTGACCCACTTCCTGATATCTAATTAAGCTGAAACTTTTTACACTTAACAAACCCCGATGACAATACAATCCTTCATGGTCAGTAGGTTACCAATGGTGAATCACCATTGACCTCTGACCTCTACTGACCCTTGATGGGCCTCTGTGGGTCAAACATTCTATCTCAATTTCGACCCACTTCCTGATCTCCAATTGAGCTGAAGCTTTGAATACTTTGACTAAAAAGTACAAAATCAAACGATGAAAAAATACTTTTTTAAAAATCACGCATTTCCAGAAATATACTAAAAGGTAAAAAATAAATGTTCCCCAAACTTCAGAGAGGTTACGTGTATATGATTAAAAAGCTTGGGGTGCCCATGAAATACAATGATGTCGTATGACTTTTTCTTATGATGCTCTGCCCATCTGTTTGTTTGGGTCTGGTTAAATCTTGCATCTCAACCGTGACGCACTTCCTCATCCGACTGAGCTGAAACAGAGAACACTGAGTTCATGGGAGCAACACTTTAAAAAAAAAAAAAAAAAACAGACACATTTAAGTTGAATACAATTTCAGGATTCCACTAGATAGAGTGCCACCAGATCCGAGTGTCTGAGTTAAATCTTGCATCTCAACCGTGACGCACTTCCTCATCCGACTGAGCTGAAACAGAGAACACTGAGTTCATGGGAGCAACACTTTAAAAAAAAAAAAAAAAACAGACACATTTAAGTTGAATACAATTTCAGGATTCCACTAGATAGAGTGCCACCAGATCCGAGTGTCTGAAGGTTGTCACAAGAGCAGAGTGCTACCAGAGCGTCTAGCTAAAGTGTTTTTTTCACCCCATAAATTTAGTCTCTTAACTTAAGTCTGTGACGCTCTAGGCAGGTCGTGACTAATTGGTGTTGACTTCAGAAAAAATATAAACTATTAGCTCATATGTCAATCCACATTATTTATAAATTAATAAATTGTTGTTTCAAATTAACTTCAAAGTCTATGTTTTGTTTATAAATAATAATAATTGTCATCATTTCCTTTGTTCAGTATTTTTGCCCGAGGCTCAAGGTGTCAAATCCAAAGAGTAGTCATAATTTGAAATGTTAAAACTGATAACTAAGTGGGACTTTCTAGAATCTCTCCCAATGCTCTCATCAAGCCTGCTATTGAGGAGCCCACTTGCAAAAGGTCCTAAGTCCAACCAAACTCATTTTTTTCAGGAAAGTGAATTTTGTGTTACAACTTAACTAGCATTTTGAAGGTTGTTCTACATTTTCCCTTTAAAATAAAGGCCTTTAGAGCCTTCTGAAAGTTAAGATGAGAGATTCAAAATGTGTATTTAAGGCAATAGATTAAGAAAAGGGCACTAACTCAAAACGGACTTAGTACCTTTTGCAAGTAGGCTCCTCTATTATTCTCACGGTCTGTGTATCTGTGGCGTCATGTAAGAGGAGCTCTTCAAAAGCATACCTGAATTTGGGAAATTCGGCTCTAGACAAGGGTCCACCCAATCGTCAACGGGGGGATCTGTAGGGGTGGGAGCTGGTCACCGTAAGTAAATTTACTTGAATCATCTATTCGTTTCAAAAAGACACCCCCCCCCCCCCCCCAATCGGATATAACCAATCGTCAACGGGGGGATCTGTAGGGGTGGGGGCTGGTCCCCGTAAGTAAATTTACTTTAATCCTCTATTCGTTTCAAAAAGACCCCCCCCCCCCCCCCCCCCAATCGGATATATCACTGTCCAGTTCGCCAACGTTTTAACTTTTAAATATCATATTGACAAATGGGAAAGTGACATGAGCCTACATACCTATGAAATTCAATTTTAATCACCAACACACACACATGCATGGGCACCCGCAGGGGGGGGGCAAGGGGGCACCCCCCCTGGATTGATTGAATACATAATTTTTAGACAAAAATAGACAAAAAATGTATCAAAGTAAAGAGAAAATAAAGAGAAAGTAACTAAGCTGATGTCCTGTCCGCTCGTTCACCATACAAATACGCTACAGTAAATTAAAACTACATTAAAACATTACTAAAAAAATGTTGCCCCCCCCCCTGGAAAGTTAATCGATTTTTTCGCCCCCCCCCCTAGAAAGTTTTCTGCGGGCGCCCATGCACACATGTGGTTAATTCGAATGTAGAACCACTGCACATGTTATTTAAAGGGCACTTGATACACAAGTGATTAAATACCTTAATTAACCAAAATTCATTGTTATCCGCTTGTCTCCGTAAGACGATTGTGTGTATTCTGTTTCTCGCCCCACCCCACCCCCTTTAAAAAAAAAAACAACTTTTAATCCATGCGAGTGACTTATGAGGCCGATCATGGAGTAGCTGTTTCGGGTGCACTTCTTCTTCTTCTTTATTTTGAGGGCCCCCGATCAATGAATTGATCATTCTGGCTCCTATGTTTCAGAGGGGTTTGCGATGTTACTGTGCTTGGGTTTCAAGGAGATACTTCACTGGTTGCAAGGGCTACGCAGCAGTGGTGTTACGAACTGGGGGTTGGAATACAGGAAGCAATAGACACAAATGTGTCGAGTGTAGGCGCCTCAACTGTTGCTTTTGGAAGCTTGTTCCAGTCCCCTATTGTCTTCGGCAGGAATGAGGAGCTCCTGTACTTTGTTCTTGTTTTTACCAGCCGGAACTGTCTGTCGTGGCCTCGTCGCTGTCTAGAGGGAAGATGAACGAGTTTCTGTTTGATTCCGGAGCAGTGGACCAGCCCATTTTTTATCTTGTACAACATGGTGAGCCTGGATAGTCGTCGTCGTCTTCCAATGTTGACCAGCCCAGTGTTTTTAGCATGCTGCCAACACTTGAGGTGTTTCTGTAGCGGGTCATGACAAAGCGTGCTGCCCGTCGCTGGACCGCCTCCAACCTGTCGATGCTCTTCTGGGTAAATAATAATAATAATAAAGTTCATTTAAAAAACACGCTTCATCCCCAAAGGCTCGAAGCGCGGTACAAAGTCAACAAAAAACATATCTATAATTCACCACATTTAAAACAAACACAACACTACAAAAACTAATTACAAGCATACAATATCAAAGTCTTTCTAGCCATTTCAACCTGGAGCAACACAGCAACACATGGAAAATAAGGTAGACAATCATCCCAGAAGGTATTTGCGAAATAGATGTGTCTTTAGATCTGTTTTAAAGGACTCCAGTGTCTGGTTGTTTCTAAGATCGACAGGAAGGGTCCCAGACTGTAGAAGCGTACTCTAAAATAGGCCGGACAAAGGCTTTATATGCTTTTTATTTCACGCTTGAGTTGCCGAGCTTCAGATTGCGCCTTAGGAACCCCAGGGTCTTGTTTCCCCGGTTGCACACACTGTTAATGTGCTCGTCCCAGCGGACCTCTCTTTGAATAGTAACACCCAAGTACTTTACGGAGGAAACTGGCTCAAGAATATGGCCATGCAGTTCGTAAGAGTGGTTTAGAGGGAATCTGCTTCTAGAGCCTTTCAGCAGGAGAAACTTCAACAAAGACTTGGTTTCACACATCCACTGCCATTTTCACCGCTGTTCGTCAGCGGGAGCCAGAACGGTAATCTGCGATCCGCTCATATTCACTTTATATTTATATTATTTTGACGTTGGTCGCCTTCTTGTTTCTTGTACACTATGCCCCCCCCCCCTCAGATGCCGATTCTCTGTTCAGCAGATCGTTGAAAAAAAAAGGGCCTGCTTCCCTTCTCTTGACATGGTCTTGCCAGTTGGGGCGCCTACTAATATAAGTGGAGAACGAGCCGCACATTTTGGACACCTTATTCCACACATGCTAACTAAATTTTAGTTTGTGTATTCGCCCGTCAACTGATGACTGAAAAGGCCAAACATTGCATGGAAGTTAATTTTGCAGTCGGAGCAATCGATAAACTGGAGTCAGGAGTCAGGACATCACCAAGTGCAACAGAGGCGTGGGCTTTTCTGGGTTGCTCTTTTAATTAGGTACGCAGCAGCTTCGTCCTGCATAGATCCTTTGCGTTCTGAAAAGCGCCAGGACGCTTTTACTAGTGTACATATATTAAAAATTCAATTTTCATATAATGGTGAAAGATCGTCTACCACAATTTCTATTTACTGCCATTATGAAATTGTTATATAAATAATGTTAAGGGCCGGTACCTGTGAAAATATTACTATAAGCATAGGCTATAAATATTAATGATAACTGAGAAGCTACTTCAGGTTGGGCTTGTCTCTTGAGTTAATTTTCAATCGCCCAAAATGGCCTTTACTAGTCAAACTAGAGGGAAAATATTTTTTTATTTAACTAAAGACTAAAGTAAAACTTAAGAATTTTCGAACTTAAATAGTTGCATTTTTTTGCTTAAAAATAAATTCATATTAATAATCAATATTAATTAAAAATTAATAATAATAAAAAAATAGCAGGTATGTTTGAGCCTGGTGATTTATTTGCATGATTTATATCCGAAAATCAGAATCTCTGTACATGTTATATTAATATTGACTTTCTTTTACGCTGGGAGCATAACATTCATACTGCCTACTACAATAATGATACTGATAGGTTACTGCGTATAATAATTTTCATTTTATATTATATATTAAAAAAATCTGTGACGATTATTAGTTTCGAATAATATGATAGGGTATTAACAATCTTTATAATTGCTATAAAATACTTATCTCTTGAAAAAAACATCTTTTAAAATGTTAATTATGTTTATAAATCAAGACATAAGTCTTAACAAGTTAAATTTTAATAATGCAATAAAAGACCATCTACTTGTTGTTATGGAAACGATGACGTCAAAATCTTCCGAGCAGTTCCGTATTCATGTTCTCGGTAGTGCGGAGTAATTTTTCTCACGGTTGCAATTTTTGCGGAAGTACAATTACCCGTATAAAATGAGTTCATTTTAAATTTAAGTCATTTTCCTTAAAAAATTAAATGATACTTAAATCATCTTAAATATTCTTCGAAAAACAAAAATTAATCAAATTTTGTTTTCAATATTTTGTAAATAAGATAATAATGATGGTTATTGAATTATGTGAGTAATTTTGAAAAGTAGGGCAAGTCGCTCGCCATCTTGGAATATTTCTGTTTCATTCCAGCAGAATCGTGGTCTGCTCAAATAAATTTTAGGCTTTTAAAATGAGTAACCAGGGTCTTACTCTCAAGGAACAATATGTGCACAAAGCCAAGCTTGCGGAGCAAGCTGAAAGGTATGATGATATGGCTACAGCCATGAAAAAGTGTGTAACTATTGCTTACTCTGCTGACTCTGAAGCTTCTCTCACTCTCGACAACGAGGAACGGAACCTTCTGTCTGTCGCCTACAAAAATGTCGTTGGTGCTCGACGTTCAGCCTGGAGAGTAGTCTCAAGCATAGAGTCAAAAACAGAAGGCAGTGAGAAAAAGCTCGAAATGGCTAAGAAATATCGCGAGACTATTGAGGAGGAGCTGAAGTCAATATGCAATGACGTTTTGGTAAGTAAACCGGCTAGCCCAAATCCCAAACAAAATAATTTTCCATCCTGGAAATAGTAAGTAAGCCTATCCTTTATTTGCTTTATCTGTATTATCAGTCACTCTCAACTAGCTACATTTGTACCCAAATGATTATCAAACGGAATAGAACCTTAAGTGGTTTCAGAATTCTTGAAAAATTCATCTTATATCTTAATCTTAGTTAAAAATGTTATTAAATCACCTTAGCCTTAGATTAGAATACTTACAATGTGAGTCCAAACCATCAAGTTGGGCCAGCCTCATATGTATCTTGGGTTGATAAGAGCAGGGTATATGGCATGGAAAGGTCAACAAAAAAATATGTAGAATGACTGAAACGCTCTCTTAATTAAAATAGTGATTAATGGTAAGACGCCAAGTTAATCGGTGAATTCTCGTCCAAGCATCCATGTAACTTAGATTACCCATCCGACTATGGTTAAATCATCAGATTTGGAATTAAAATATAAATAATGGGGACTTAGTTCTAACACTAGGGTAGTTTTGATGACTTAAAAATTTAAAAAGTTCTCAAAGTAATTTTTCTCAAGGATTGTCAAATAAATCCTTCAAGCATCAGTCATCATCAGCTATTCTCACAGTAGAAACAATATTTTAATAGTGTGGATAAGCTTACCTTTTTTGGCCCATATTCTTTACAAACTATTAATTTTGATCAATTATATACAGGAATTGCTGTCCAAACATCTGATCCAGAAAGCCCAAGACGATAGTGCACATCATGATAGCCATGTTTTCTACCTCAAAATGCAGGGTGACTACTATCGCTACTTGTCTGAGGTGTCTGTAGGAGAAGATAGGAATGGTGTGTATTTAAAATATTTTTGTTTGATTCATATTTGCTTTGCAATATTAGCTTTGCTATTTTTATAAGTTGCATATTCATATATCAAAAATCTTTTTACATTTGGGTTGGTTATAATTTGCTTCAGAATATTTGAACTTGGTAATGAGATATGTTTTTTAAATACCGGTAGTATAGATTTCTATTGATGGGGAAAAATATACCCTAAACTTTCTTACACCCGATGCCTTGTAAATATCTATTGAATTTTTAAAAATTTCTTGTCAAGAATTGTTACTATTTTATAAATTTGCATTATATATCAGTATACATATTTCATTTGAAATATTTCAGTTAATGTCAGCAAATCAAATGAGGCATATAAAAAAGCCACAGAAATAGCAAAAGAAAAGATGCAGCCAACACACCCTATAAGACTAGGATTGGCATTGAACTTTTCTGTGTTTTACTATGAGATCAGGAATGAACCAGATGAAGCCTGCAGGTTGGCGAAACAAGTAAGTGAAAGAAAAAGTTTGGCTGTTTTTAATCACTTGTTAAATTTTTATTCTAAAATGGTTTTTAGAAATTCTGTATGGTAAAAAAAACTGTTTTAAATTTCAGGCATTCGATGACGCCATTGCCCAATTAGATCAGTTGAATGAAGAATCCTACAAAGACAGCACATTGATAATGCAGCTGTTGAGGGATAATCTTACAGTGAGTTTGTTCTTTAATCTCTACAATCCAAGTATTTTTTGCTGTTTATTGTTTCTAAAAGGTAGCACTTAAGTTAATTAAGGTACAGTACCATTTCAGTTTTTAATGAAATCACTTTTTTTTTTATTGGTTAAATGATTTTTTAATTTGTTTTTTTTTTCTTGTTCAATATAGCTGTGGACATCTGACTCACAGGCAGAAGTGGAGCAAGAGGCTGAAAACCAGTGATATGTATGGCCTGATATCTACACATTTCTTTTAATTATAAATTCAAGCAGTTTTTCGGAAAAACAACTTTCAGTCATTATTCCTCATCTTGAAGACCATGTTCTTGACCTCATCCCTCTCCCATTCATTCATTACACCTACCTTCCCTTGCCCACCTCCCACATCACTTGGGTTCAGTAGTCTAGATATCATCGCTCACTACACATAGATGCAAAGCGTACAAATTCTCACACAATACATTTTGTACATTTAGTTTTTCGACCACATTAGTACATTTAATTAACTGCATTGCTGAATGATGGTTTTCACCCCTTTTATAATTAATAAAAATTGTGCCCCATAATTTCAGTAACCAATCCTAGGCATCAATGGAGCTAGTTTGGGGCTTTATGGTTTACTCTTTTTTTAAAGTTATTATGATTGCTAGTCTTTACAACTGTGGCAGATGATGAGAATAAAGCACTCAGCTGATCAAACGTGTTTGTTGTCAATGTTTTAAAGACAAAACGGTTGCATTTATTTTATTTAGTTAAAATCCAAAGGCCAGAAATGTGTGGCTTTGTAATTCAACTTTTCATTTTATCACATCCTAAGCCTACATCTAGCCCTCAATACACTGGTGCCAGCATGGTCAAACTGAACATTTAGAAAGACTTTGACTGTTATAGTTTTATACTCTGTTCATTACATTGAGTGTTGAGCATTTGCGTTAGAAATTCGTATTTTTGTTTGCACTGTGAATGAAACAAAAGTTTGTTATTCTGTTACTGCAAGTATTTAACCTTGCAATTATAATAGTTTTTTTTTTTTAAGTAACCTGCCTTTTTGTCAAGTGTGCCAACATTGTTACTTAATATTTCTTAATTCCAATTAGGGAAATGGAAATGTATGATAAAATTCTAATCTTTCATTTCTGTACCTTAGTTTTGGAAGTCTAAATGGTCACAATTATCAAAAAGTTGTAAAATCTGAAAAAAATGTTGACCTTGATTAATCTATGGACACTTTTCTACATTAAAAAACATTTAAAAAATATGAGATTTTGTTAGCACTCATAACAGGTAAAAAGAAAAAATTGCATTATCAAAAGATGATTGGAATTTTCAATTTATTATATTTTCAATATATTATCGAAGAAAAATATAGATGAAAATGGATAATTGAAGCAGACAGAAACTTCAGTATGACAGTTCCATTTTATGTCTAACAGTCACGGTAGGTGTCAAGTGCTGATTCATCGCCGCTTCACATAATCATCATCATACCCATTTATTACTTATAACAACACTATTATGATACTTTATATTATCATTATTATAATGTGTATGTCAAGTTTTACACTCTTTATATCTGTCTGTATAAGGAAATAACACATTTTTTCTGTGATCACATAATGAATGGCTGCATGAATGGCTCCTTCCCTACCCCCTTCCAACATTTTATGTTTCCCTGAAATTACAGACGACTACTTTGCTGGTCCTGCTTAAGCTATTTGACTAACATTTTTTGTTGGCATCCATTGAATAATGTGTTTGTGAAAGGATTGAGAGATGTTTTCTTTTAGCTGACTTGAGATCAGTAGGTGGTTTGGTTATTTCACTATGTGTAATGTTAATCATCCACTTCTTGTTTAAGTTTTCACATTGCTGATTTCTTGTTCAAATGGTATTCTTTGTTGTGCATTCAGTGTTTTTAAAAATTTTTTTTTCAATTCATGATTCTATTGTTTTTTTAATCTTAAAAAAAAAACTTTTTAAAAGTGTCATTTGTTCTGTATTACCTGCAATTTGGTTTCCATGTGTAGGTTTCAATATTTTTTTCTACCTTTTCAATAGTTGGAATTAAGAATTGGAGGATGTTTTATATTTCAAAGTTGTAAAACAAATTCACAAAAATTTCCTATAGGATATTATTCGATATCTTAAATTTTACATTGCTGAGTGAAAAGCATAATAGTCAATTATTTTTTCTTTACAGTTTTTTTTCTATTTTGGGTTCAGATATTTTTGAGAAAAGGGTTTTCATCTCAGAGGCAAGCTGGAATACTTTAATTTTTTTTGGTTCACGTTAAGTTTCTATGTAGTGTTTCATTTTTATATCGCAAATTTATTTTGTCTTTGAAGCCACAGTCTTGGGAGCATAGCTATGTTTAATACCTTGCTCAGAATATTTTAAAATCTCACCATGTTCCACTTATTCATTATCTTGTTTAGATGTGTACATGTCGGTAAACGAAACCAGATTATGTTTAGAAATAGTTAATTAAATATTAATCAAGTGAACACTTACGAAGCAATTTTTTAAAAAGAGCAGTTTTAAGAATTCTTAGCACATACTTGTTTTCTTCCCTGTCTTGCATTGGTATAAATATGACCTAAGAATGGTTGACGCAAGATATATTTATATATAGAGTGTAAAATTTATAATTATATTCACATATTTAGTCACAGGAAATAATTTTTAATATACGGTAAATTTTTTTTTTTTTTTTTTTTTTTGAATTAAAGTTTAACTTGTTTTTTTTTTTTTCATGATTGCATTCATATATTGGAGGTAGATTTAGTTTTTTTTTTTTTATTTAAAAAAAAAAAACACGTCTGAACTCCAGGAATGTATATTATTACTCAGGCCTACGGCTCAATTGGATTCCATTCTATAGAATTCTGAGTTGGGACTGGAATTTCAGTACATTTGATGTGAAGCAAGTGTTTCCTAAATTTGCCTCCTCACTGATTCGGATATTATAGTTGAGATTTGAACAAACCTTTCCTGTCTGAGATCCTTACTGTACCATACTACTAGCCTGGGCTTTGTTTTATAGACTACCAAATTTAATCCATTTTTGCTTTTTTAAAAAGATTAACACTTGTTTGCTCGTCTGTACCTTGTAATACTACTTTCAACATAGGTGTCCAGTTTATAAAAACAACCCCAAAAAATATTTTTTTTCCCTTTGGTGTTGCTCATTGTGTGTATATTTTTTTTTTTTGGTACTGTATCTCAATATTAATAAACCTGAATTGGTTCTATCAACTTTGTACGTGAAATGTCAAATGGAAAAATCCATATGACCAAAAATCATAAGCTTGTTAGTTACTTTCAATTTAGGCCACCTGAAAAAATAAAAATTGCGTATGTGTAAAAAAACAAAACAATCAAAGTGTAAGTTTTTATTTCTTTCATGGTTTTGCATACATCAAGTAAATGTGATTAACTATCACTTTGTTACAGAGCATTAATAAGACTGAACATTTGACTCAAATAACAAATTGGTTGTACAATACTCTAAAGGCAATGTTAATGACTTTAATTGGCTAAACCATTTACAAAAATAACACATCTCTACTTGAACTTGTATTTAAATGATGAATGGTCCAGTTCAGTATAATACTGGTACTGGTACCTGTACTGGTGTGTAAAAGAAACTAATATACAGCATAATCAATAGCAAAAATAATATAACTGTCATATTGTCTCTGATAAGGCCTATGATTTGTGTAGGAACTTGATAAACAAAGTAAAAAATAAAAAGTAATTTTAAAATGGTTTCAAATTAGTATCTACACCAGTTAAGCACAAAAAAATAAAAATTGACTATATGGGGTACCGGTATTGATAAAAACTTTTTCTCCTTGACAGAACATCTTGTACCAGATACCAGATAGTAATTTCCACATTCATAAAAAATAAAATGCTCAAATTCTCATTCATGCGAAAACTGAATTAATTGTAAATGTTTTGAAATTCATAATGTTTTGAAAATACTAAAGAGTTCTTTTCTAATTTTAATTTGCCTTAGTCGCCCTTAGTAATTAAAAAACAACTAACAAATCTGATACACCTCAACTGAAAATATTAATAAAGAGTGATGGGCCAATGGGTTACCAGTATTTATTTTGACAACTATGATTCCGAAACAGTCGAGTAACACTATCTAAAATGATAGTAAATGTAATACTCGAGTATTTCAGATTAAAAAACCCCCCCACTAAAGATTCATGTAATCATTTTTCTCGAATAAATTACAATAATTACATGGTTATTTATCAAAAAGAATTATTAGAAACTAGGAAAAGAGAACCAAGTAATAAAAGTTAATAAATAATAGTTATTACTTATAATAAATAAGCTTAACAAGAGTGACCCATTTATTACTGTTTATATGGGGCATAATTGTGACATACATATATTGCAAAAAAACTTGATTTAGTTTTACAATTTATTTGATATTTTGATTATTAAAATTAAAAAGAATTTGTTGCAACCATAATTGACTAATTTCACAGAGTAGTTCACTATTAATAATCTCAAAGACATGAGCTAAACCAAGTATCTTGTACCGGTACTGGCACCGTCCCATTAACTACATGTGTTAATTTTGAAGTTCAGATCGTTTAGTATGGTCCATATGCATAATTAAAAAATTTCAACAAATTAATAACATCCAATTTCATTTCCAACATGTAAATGTAAAATACTTTTTTACACTCTAAACTTCGTCAGGAACTAGCACCGGCCGCCAACAGAACATTGTATGGGGCAAAGCTCAAGTATGAGATTAAAGCTGATTTCGTGGGGAAAGCACCAAGAAGTTCAGGTGATGAATGGCCTTCAACCCTGAAATACAAACAAAACATTTATGCTGAGAACCATACATTTGAATTTTATATAAGATATATTGATGACGGCATTGGCATCACTTCCATGGAAACTAATGAACTTCACAAATTTATAGATTTTTTAAACTCATTTCATCCATCCATAAAATTTACTTCCCAAATCTCTGGACATTCTGTCAACTTTCTTGATATCATGAAATCATGATAACATTGAAAGAAAACGGATTAATCACACCTGTCTACTGTAACCCACTGATAGACATAGCTACCTATTGTACTCATCCTCTCATGCCAAATCATGCAAAGACTCTATTATTCCATTCTCACAACTTCTTAGACTACTGCCAACTTGATGAAGACTTTTTAGAAAAAGCTGATGAAATGATGGATTTCTTTCGCTCCAGATCACATCCTGAAAATACTCTTGTCTTGGGACTCAATCGTATCAGTAATATCACCCGAAAAGACGCTTTTAAACCTTGGCAAAACAACAATGAAGATCGAACCAAGCTCATATTAACCTATCACCCTCACAATTTGACAGCCAAAAAAATATTCATATGCTATGTTTCTGCTAATCACTGCTATACATTTTTAAAAATTGTGAAACCTTTCACTTTCAATTGAATTAAAAGACCACACAAAACGTCAAATCAATTTAAATTTAATCAAAATTTTTTAGCTTACAATTACAAAATCATGCCTAAAGTGATAACCCACCAAGTAGTGTTACATTCCAAGGTGGTTGCACAAATTAAAGCATCTGAGTGCAAGTCAACATATTATTTCATTCACTGTGAGAGTCTTTGCCACCAAGAACTGTCTACAGAACTGAACAATGTTCTCACCAAAGTTTTAAAAATTGTGAACTTTGTGAAGGCAAACACTTAAAATTCAAGACTATTTGCTGCCTTATGTGATGACATGGTGGCTGAAGAAAAAAACTTCTACTTCATACCCAAGTATGTTGGTTGTGGAGAGGGAAAGTTTTATCAAGAGTTTTGGAATTGCAAAGGGAGCTTACTGAATTTCTGAACAAAAAAAATAGATTGGTCAGGACTGTTTGGAAATGTGGATTAGAGATCAGGATGGATTACTTGGAAGATATCTTTGCCAGCTTAAATGAGCTCTACACGTCCATGCAAGGACAGATGGCATCATGCTTCAAAATGGCTGACAAGATTGATGGTCATAAATGAAAGAGTTGTGGAAGAGTCCGAAAGTTATTTTGATATGTTTCATGTCTTGGGACCAATCATTGATGCAGTGGGAAGATCTTGATGACACATCTCTACAAAAGGTCATAACTGAACACTTAACTGACCGCTTTGTTTTTTTACTTTCCAATGGCAGATGATCCATGGATGAGAACTGGAGGGATATGATATACATTTATTGGATCAAAAGCTGATTTAAATGCCAGTTTGCAAGATAAGTTGTTGCAGTTAGCTGCCGATAAAGCATTGAAGATGGTTTTAACCACCATGATATCATTTTTAATTTTAGCAACTTTTTGGATTCATGTCAAAGCCAAATATTCTGAAATTGCCTTGAAAGTTCCTCTCCCATTTCCTTCTCTGGCTTTTTGTCAATGGGCGTTAAGACAAAGGACAGGAACAGAATGGATATTAGTTCTCCTTTGTTTGTAACTCTGTCTACAATCGAGCCAACAATTGATTTGATTGTCACTGAAAAGCATGCCGAAATTTCTCATTAAATAACTAAAAAAAATTTTCCTACAACTACAACTTACAACATATGCTTTATTTTATATTATTAATAATTATATTCTCAATTGAAAGCTTTAGTTGTAAATATGAAGAAAAAAACCCCCAGCTTTTGAAGTTATTTAAGTTTTAAACCGAACAAAAAAATAAAATAAAAATGATTAGAGGCTACCATGAAATGGTACCGGTAATAGTTATTAAATTTGCTGAAAAAGGATTAAAAAATATTTTTTAGACATATATAAGGTCATATAAAAAAGAAAATAATAAATAAATCTGGCACTGGTCACTGGTGCAATGGGAAACAAATTTCTCCACCATTCCGCCAAACTTAAAAGTTTAAGAATCGCTGCACTATACCACTATATTTTAATTATTGTGGAATATAATTTGCACAAGGTAGATATATATATATAAATTTCAAAATGCCATTGTGCCTTTAATTGATCAAATTGGCAAGTACCGATACTTATGCCGGATGATGCCTTTCTTTGAGCTCCTTACCTATTCTATAATCTATGGTACTGTTCTTTGCGAGAAAACATGAATTCATTATTTGCAAGAAAGAATAGAACAAAAAATAATTTATTATCAATTTATGAATGTTCCAATATTGAATATATTTCTCGGCGACTTCAAAGTATTATTCATATATTGCTTGAGTGATACTCTAATTATCAGTTCTGGTATACACTATCGGTAATGGGCAGGATTTTACCGATTAGAAAGTCTACATTCGCTAATTTAATCAGCTGCAGGTCATTTGGGGTAAGCCTGGTGCAGTTTTTTGATGGCATATTGGGTACGGTACTTTGAAACAAACCCCGGCGGATCTGAGTCTTGGTATTTTACAGTTAGGAATTATCCATAGAAAATGAGAAACATGTTCCATCCAATGGGGAAAAATGAAAACTGCAGGTATAGAGAACCAGTAGTTACGACGACTGGATCAAAACTGAAGGCTTCATAACATTTAATATCATATAAACCTAACCCTTAAACTTTAACACAACGGTAACAAAAATCAAACATGGAGCAGTGTTGCTATATATATATATATATATATATATATATATATATGTGTGTGTGTGTGTGTGTCTGCCAGTCCTTGTTGGTCATTGGTAGTAGTTTCCATTTTATTTATTTATAGCATGAAATGAAATGACAGGACAATAAAAGAAGAACGTTTAAGCTAAAAGCCTTCTTGTTCCACTTTTAGTCTTATTTATACAAATACAAACATACACATATAATTTCAATAAATATTTATATCATTGTGGCATTACAGTTTGAGTATTTTCATTACACATTCTTCCATTCCAATTCTTTCATTTATTAAATACATAATGGTACGTGTTAAACCTTAAATTAGCATTACTGTAATAAATAATGGCAGTACAGAAATGATCCATAAAATAAAACTTCGGCTACTCTGTACTCACTAACTATTGTGAGTGATGAAAGCCGATATTAATTGAAAAAAGAAGAGTTATGATAACAACCAAAGGTATCTAGCCTGCTAAGTTAACTCAACTCGCTACAAGTACTTTATTATTTTCAGAACTTTGTTGTTTCATTTAGCTTACACTTACATTACTTTCGCACCACATGCTAGTCAGTTTTCTATTATAACTCATTTTGTTCATGGCATCATACTGAATAATTTGTTAAGATACGTAAGAGATACATAGAAGTCAAACGTTGATAGTTTGACTAATTCTAACACATGTCGACCGCTTTACAATCTTGCTGTAATGATTCCAAGCAAAAAAAAAAATGAATGATGAACTTACTGATGTGTGTCGGTGGTCCTCTTAACATCCCACAATCGTACACAACAGTCAGAACCTCCTGATGCCAATAATGAGCTGTTTTCATCAAATGCCAGGGCAAAAACAGTGTCTGTATGACCTCTTAAGTCTTTGAGGACATTACCTGTCCCAAGATCCCATACACGAATCCGTCGATCTTCACCTATTAGTTTATGTAAATTTCACAATAATTTTCATTCGATCAGTCAAATTTGTAGTAAGGGATGAAGCGTGTTTTTGAAATGAACTGTATTATTATTTTGGTAGAAATATTTATTTTTGGCCTCAAGGTACATTTTTTTAATAGATTCAAAGAATAGAATACTTGAAAGAAAAAAAAAAATTGCAATTTTTTTTAAACATACATTTTTATTTACCCGGATAAAAAATAGCATGATACTAACTAGTACTTGTATCATTTATCAAATATTGTGATAATATGTTTATTATCCTTATCATTATAAAATGATGTACTGTTTCAAATTGCATAGGTGAAAGTGAAGTAGATAGAGTACAGTTATAAACTTGGAGACATTAAAAAAAAATATGGTGGTACCTGCAGAAGCCAAAAGCTTGCCGTCTGGAGAAAATGCTAATGCCAGGACTGAGCCTCGATGTCCTTGAAGTAAACGAACTGTCCGACCTTCTGATATACACCAAAAGCGAACAGTTTTGTCCCCTGATCCAGTAGCAATGTAATTATTGTTTGGATGGAATTCAATGCACTGAAATGAAATTGTTAATGTGTCCTCCGATAATTGTGCTTTAGTATAACTGTGTTATTTTTACGGATTTGTAACATATTTTAATAACCGGAACTCACTGAGATTAAATAATTCTTTGTTTCTGATTACTGGGACAGAAAGTCAAGTTTAAGATAGACATATACAAATTTCTTCTTACATCCACATCAAATGTGTGTCCAATAAATGATCGCAGGGGAAATGTTCTGTCAAAGGTCCAGAGCTTCGCTGTAGTATCATGAGAGCAGCTAGCAAACCAAACATCTGTTGAACTGAGAAGTGACGAATAATTCACAAATTGTAATTATGATTATTGAAGCACTGTGTGGGGATGTTGTTTGGATTCCAAATGGCTGCTTGCTGGAAAGAGGCTTGATAAATGTGCACATACTCACTCAGTCTTTATTGAATCTTCTTGCAAATATTCATGAGTACTGACATATTTAAAATATGTAAGGAAATAATCCTAATATCAAAACACATAATTCTCTATGTAACAATGTCACTAACCCTACCAAATGCAGACCTGCCAATCTGTAGGGGGGTTGCACGCAGGGAGGAAGTGGGGCTGCTGCCCCCAAGGGTGGCGCCCAATGGGGGGGTTGGTTTAAGATCTATATACTAATGCACAAGCCTTTTTTTTATATAGTAAATAAAGAAATATAAAGTTAACTCCATTGTCTTTGAAGAGTCCACAGAACACCACAGAACATGAGAAGAACAGATCTGGAAAGTTTATATACAGATATATACAGTACAGAACAGAAGATCCATTTTATTTACATATGTAAATATGTTACACACAAAGGCTGCTAAGACACTTGACTCTTAGTAGTCTTTGTACGAGTTCAGTTTTCCAGCATATCACTAGTGGCCTTTTTGCACTTGTCCAACAGCTCTTTAGACAACTGAAGGTTAGCATTGCAACTGATTTAAGTTACAAGCAAGTTAGAAAAAGTATCAACTTTCATGATTGCCCTTGTTTCATTGTAATTTTTCTTTAAAATCTTCTAGCAATCTGCAAGCCTGGAAACATTTCTTTGACTCTGGCATTAAAACAATCGGAGTTGGCTAGAGAAATATTTCCTTCAATGTTTATTAATATCATTGTACCCATCACTTTCAATAGATTTAATCATTTAATTAAGAAAAGCTTCAACAAAAAAGAAAGTTTGAATTATTTTGTAGCCTTGTAAAAAGGATGAATTGCGATCAGATCAATTGATGTTTAAAGAATGATTTGAAGATCGCGGTTATCTTTGATAAAAACAAGGCAGTGTCTACACGTCAGGCGACCGGACAAATAGTGCGGGACATATTCATCCGGCGAGCATGCCATTCTTTATAAAAAAACATTGTCACTTTTTAATCTATTGTTCATTATATATACTAGCAATGGTTCTAGTATTTCTTTTGTAGAATTGAACATATTTCTTTTTCGTGTAAATGCTCAGACTATCTTGAATTTGTTGAAATGAAGTACCGTAAACTGACAATAAGCGGTCACATAACAAGGCTGACGACATGACAAGGTTGACAGACAAATATCTCCCGCAAGTTTGTAACAGTGGTTATGTGGCTTTGTCCAATAAATAATTGCCGGACAAATATCTTGATAATTTATTCACTTATTCATCCTGGTCGACCGACATGTATGCACTTTGTAAAAAAACAAATGCAACACTTCCTGTCATACCCGATTTTTTTTCTTTGTCGCTTCGCTTTCAGATTTTCATTACGGGTGAAAAATCATAAAATTTGAAAAAATCAGAATTTTAAGGGGGTTAGTCGGGGGAGGGGGTGTAAAAAATCCATATAATTCAGACAAAATCGGAAGGGTTGGTAGGTCTGCAAATGGAGCTGATTTCACTAAATAATATTCCGGATAACTGCGCTAAATGAGGTTCTTAAAAATACCACAAGTGCGTTTGATAAGTAATATTTTCTTTTGCTTTAAGGAAATGGTCTCAATTTATAATGGTGTTATAAATCGGCAGTATAAAAGGAGGTGGGACATTAGAATATTAATATAGTTCAGGGGCAGGAAAAAAGTGTCCAGTTTCAAATGCATTCCTTGAATACATGAAAAGTCAAGTAGCTTTATTGGATGGCAAATTAACACATTGCTGCCGCCATTGTTTGGCAGTCTACAGCTTGTGACATTTATATTTTCTATACGCAAGCTGTCTTAACTTTAAAAAAAATTAATTGCATTTCTGAGCAAATCCTAAGTAATCCAGAGTGGCATTGGAAAAATGACTATGAAGTTCAGTGACAATAATTGATAATGTGCACCTTAAATAATTGTCATCACTTTTTGACATCTAATTAGTAACTTCCCATGAATTCCCAATGTTGACCAATAGATCTTCAGAAGTTTTCATATTGAATTGTCATTGTTTGAGCAACAAATGACAAAGTTCATTGAGAAAGTATTTTTCCACTACAAATCCATGACTTGCAATTTTACCTTATATTCATATCCCAAACAGCTGAACTGTGACCTTTGTAGATAGAGGTGTTAGTTTGACTAGACATGTTCCATAATCTAACTGAAACAATAAAACATAGCAGAGTAATATTATTATGATGCAGTCCTTGAAAATACATTATTCATGCAAAAGAGTGCGTATCATTTTTGTATCATATATTTTCCACTGTTTGAATCTGAAATAAAACTAAGTAAAAGTAATAAAGATTGTATTAAAAAAACATAAATTCATATGCATTTGTACCCAATGAGGAGGGAAAAAAAACAGGGGGGTGGGTGGGTGGGGGGGTGTGTGTGTGTGTGCGTGCGCGCTGATTTTGCATACTGGTGTGCATGAGCAAGGGGGGATGTTTGGAAAAAATGTGTAATTACATTTAACATAATGTCTGCAACAATTATCCAAAAAACGGACTAGCCGCTACGTATATCTCGGACTAGCCGGTACGTATATCTCTAAAGCAGCAAACTGTCCCTTTAAAATCTCTGTGAAATCCATTATTTCTATATTTCTAGTAATCTGGAATTTTCTAAAGCCTCAATGTTTCATAATTATTCTCTTACTGGTGCTGTGGCTTTGGGTTTCACAAACAATATACTGCAACAGTTATATTTAGCCTAGCAAGACAACATTAATCCAAAGCGTGGTATTATGCCTGTCATGTAATTTGGAGAGAAAACCTGTGACATAATTCATTAACACCAGCTTACTCATTTCATTGCCTTGTAGGACATACTTGTCTATATACAGTGATTAGAGTGACTGATAGGGAAAGGGGGGGGGGGTAAAAAACTAATTTTTATGTTCACATGGGGAGGGGAGGGTTGTCCAAAATATCAAGGTGCAACAGGGGGACATACTTGTCTATATACAGTGATTAGAGTGACTGATAGGGAAAGGGGGGGGGTAAAAAACTAATTTTTATGTTCACATGGGGAGGGGAGGGTTGTCCAAAATATACAGGTGCAACAGGGGGAGGGATATGAAAATACACCATTTTTGTGGATATTGAATTTAAAATATGGATGGGTCTCTATTTTTCTGAAGTTATTAAGTAGGATAAGTAAGAAATATAAAAATATGTAATATAAAAATATTTTATGTTTCACCTGTGGAGTCCTCAGAGCAAGACAAAAGATAAGATTTTGAGTCTGCCAAGAATCTGCTCTTGTAGACTGGACCACGATGCCCTAGAAGCTTGGCTGTCTCCGCGCTTTGGTTTGATCTAATCAAGTATAAATTAAAAAATGAATTACAGTTACAGTACACAAAAGCTCGTTATTTATCAATATTACTTCCTGCAACTGTTCAGTCATTACTGTACACACAAGCTTGTAATTCATTAATATTACTTCCCGTAACTGCTCAAATAAAAAAGCAGGAGCTCTCAAACAATTTTCTTTATTTTCATTTACGTAACTGATTAAGAAAGGGTTCTATTGAGTAATTACAAAAACATTGCTTCATTTGTTACACAATTTACATGGTTTAATGCATCAAATGTTTCAAAAAGGAACAAAATTATGTATGACACTTAGAATATTAAAATACTTCTTCTATATTATATTATAATAAATTATTTTTAATGAAAATAAAACAAAATCAAAGAAAGAAATACTAAACTAATTTTCTCAATAATTTTGTTTTAAAAAGGCAAATGTGACTTTAGAAGATTAAAAAAAAAATTCTCACACATGAAGCTGGAGACCAAATTTTTTTAAAATGAAAAACTACTTGGCAACCATGAACAGGGGACACCTGAGTACATTTGAAATCACTCCTTGGATGCTTGACAATGTTTATAATATAATAATAAAAAAACCCAAACAAAAGCAAAACCTTGAGTAGTAGTAGCTACAATACCTGGTAAAGTAAGTAGTAGTAGTAGCTACAATACCTGGTAAAGTACACAAAAAAAAAGGCAAGGGGAGACACGGCTCATTTTGGGTGCAGCAGACTGAAAAAGGGGTGCACTTACTTTTGTGCCAGCTTCTCCTTAATCTCTGCCTCTGTGCAGTGGATGTAATCGGCAGACAGAACAATCTTGCTGACATCACAATCAGCAGAGGATCTTGTCAAGACGTCCGGCTCCAGGTTCCACACAGAAATACTGGAATCTTCAAAACAGCCGCTGAGTTTCTTCTTGTCGCCTGATATATTTGCTGAACATAATCTGGTTGTGTTGAAAATAAATAAGGATTGGCTTTTTGGTTAAATATAGGGGACTGACCAATACTGACAAACGTTGTCATGAATTTTGGCTCCAACCCTTCAGAAATATGGACCTGGTATGACATATTTTGCGCTCCCTATTTGCACCTGGGGCCTCCTAACCTGAAGGTGACATTGAATTAAACTTAGCATAAGTACCAGCACCAGTATAACTTAAAGCCCATGGCAGGCCCAGGTGATGGCAATGAACTTGTCAATATGTACCAATGTTCAGCTTCAGATATTTCAATTGAAAAAATATATACTCGAATAATACCATAGACCAGTGGTTATCAAGCTTTCTTTGCAGCGACCCTTTAATACAGTTCCTCATGTTGTGGTGACCCCCAAGCATAAATTTATTTTCATTGCTACTTCATAAATATGCATTTTCTAATGGTTTTAGGCGACTCCTGTGCAAGAGTTATTCGGCCCCCAAAGGGGTCAAAACGCACAGGTTGAGAACCGCGGCTATAGACCATAAGCCTTTTAAAAAAATTCTTCAACATTTAATATCATGCAAAATTATACTACACCGCTGTGATAAAATATGAAATGATGATTTTTAATATTATACACTATGTATTTCCTATTTAAATAAAATAAAACCAATATGCAGTCAAGCATTTGAGAGCAGTTTAGTAAGGAGGGTGTTAAACTTAAAAAAAAAAAATTGGTATATTCAAGTCTCCTAACATGATTAAAAAAAATCTTACAACTACAGGCAAGAACAAACAATTCATCGCCAACATATAATTGATCTAATCATTAAACAGATGTGTCTTTACTCACCCTTGGTATGTATTTAAAAAGGTAAAAAAACATATGGATGGAAGACAGGGAGGTAGCTCCCTAACGGCTTTTATAGCGGCAGACAACTCTTCCTCAAGGGTTAACTCTGGATGAGGTTTATCAAGGGTGGCCAGCCCATCAGCCGTTTGATTGTTTCGGTCCAACTGAGATTCATCACAAACTTCTGGCAGTGCCTCCATTTCTATCCGTCCATTGATCAGCCCTCCGTCCGCTTTGATAATTACTAATCAAAATAATAATAATAGTATGTTAAATCTAGTCTCTGCAGAGGTTTGATGAAACGGAAGTTTGTTCAAAATGAAATAATGAAAAATAAAACAAAAATTAATTTTATTAAAAAGTTTACATTTACATTTTCCCCCATTTCTCACTCACACATTTCCCTAGAAAAACATTTTTTTAAAGTAAAAAAAAAAAATCTCAGCTGAAAATGTTTCATTTTATTAGAACTGTATTGCTTACACTAGCATATTATTATATGTGGCTTGCTTATGAGCTGGTTACACACTTTTCAGGTTTTTATCTGGCCAAAAATAGGGCTTATGAAAGAACAGACTTTAGAACGGGTATATGGGGTAATATTATTTTTCAGTGTTGACTGGTCTTTTTGAGATTGACAGTAGTTAGACATATCCTGCATGATCTATTCAGTTTAGGGGTGGCACATGCTGGTTGTGCAGTAATGAAAGAATTACAAAGAATTTACCATTGGTCTTTATGTACTGGTTAAACATCTGAAGCATGATCATATTGTCCTCTGTCTGTTCAAAGACAATAAAAATACAAATACAGTTACATATGCAGTTTGGAAACAAGACATTGGTCTGAAATAACTGTAATTTAACAGAAACTTATTTTTTTTTAAATGTTCTTTATAAAAAAAAATGAGGCTTGAATTCTTTATGTATAGTATTAAAATTTCATAGATCCAACATTATTCTATGTATTGTACAGCACCAATAGAACCACTAACTATTTTACAGGACTATTTTTATAATAATCTACATGAAGGCTATGAATTAAGCTGTGGTTACAACAACAAAATTTGAAATTAGTTTTGTGGTTAAGAGCTTTTTTTAGATACGGTTTGTAGAAACCAGTTAGAAAAAAAAATTATCTTCTACATTGTTTAAGTAAATGAACTTTTTAAAGAAATACTTTAGGTATGCCTTTAAGTATGTACCTTTAAGTGTCTCATCAGGTAGTCTAGAGCTTCCTCACTTACATTCAAAGTGTGACGATTTTCTCTGTAGAATAAAATAGTTGACTTAGAAATTTCATTGATGCCCGGTACTACTGACAGCTAATTACTAATGTTTGCATTCTAAACAATGGACCTCATATCTTAGTGCTGATAAATATATAAGGTTTTCGATCTGACTGGTGGAGGTAGGTTATGCGAAGAGTCAGCACACCAGATTTTACATATACCAGTGTTTGCTACAACATTGAGAGGTGTGACAAAGAAAAACGCCAAATGGTTTAAAGAGTAAAAAAAAAAAAATCTCAAAAGTACCTAAAAATCCCAAATATTTTAAAAGCTTTTTTTTAAAAATCACAAAAAAAAAAATCTCAATTTACCAGTAACTGAAAATTACTATAGTAAAACAAAACACCACTAGCCTGAACTCGATGACTTCTTTAGTTGTGAGCACATCACTCTTTGCCTCAAGTTTCTTTAAGACCTTGATAAATGCCTGGTACTTCTCCTCTTTGAATGTGTCTGAGTGACGCTCGTGAAACTTCTGGGCTAATGTTAAAAAAATCATACTTTTAAATTTAAAAAGCCTATGACCAATTTTATTTTTGAAAGAAAAAATTGCACACATTAAAATAAAACATCTTTTGTGGCCTAAAAGTTATAATCAGTAAATCAATGTGTAGAGTTGAGTCTAACATAAGGTCTTGTTATAATGATATCTACTCAGCCAGTAATGTAAAGATTTCATCTCCATGTATATGCACATAGTTAAAACAGTTTATCATAACAATAGTGACTTCTTACCAGGCACTTTCTGTCCGTTGCATAACATTTCTAAAAAAGTATGGGCAAACATTGGAAACAAAAGGGGTTGTAACTCTGTACAGTAAGGTGCAACAGCTCCAGTTATGAACGCCTTCATCCTAGATTAATTGAAAAGCAAATCAATTTTAAGGCCAGGTCTTAACGCTCATATATTTTTTACTTGAAAAAATAATGTTATATATCTGACATCTTCCTTGCCATTTGAACTCTGACTAGCATGCTGACATTGTGATAATAAAATTTTTGCCTGAATTATATGCTTTAGGTAATAAAATGTCTGCCTCAATTATATGCTTGAGATAATAAAATGTTTGCCTGAATAATATGCTTGTCCTTCTTTCAAAGTCATTGTATTTGTATCTTATACTTTAAAATTCAGATAATTGTATCATTTCAGAAAACAATTCGATCACCATTCAAGACTAACATCGACTAATTCATCTATCATTATGAACAATACCTTCTAGAATAAAAATTACTGTTAAATAAAATATCAAGAGCAACCTTTAAAAAAATCTAATCATAAAATATAAAAAAACCCAAAAAATCTGAAGATTTCAGACACCGTTATTTACTTTGGATACATTCATTTAGCCTACCTTGTGAACTGCTGATCACAGGCAGTAGCGTCTCCTGATATGCTACTTAATGACAGGGCATTGTCAACACTTGTTCGTGAGCGCGTCCTTCGTCTAACAGACATGTCTTTGACACCTTGCTCCCGCTGCAAATCTTTTCTTGAGGGCATTTCACTTTCCTATTTAGGTAAATTATTTAAATTTTAAAAATTCGTGCCCAAGATAATGGCTATTTACACTAATTTGTTGACTGTAACTCAGTTAAATGAGCTAATATTTTTTTAAATTCACTGAAGTTTTCATACAGCAGTAAACTTTGTAAATTTACTCTATAAACAAAGGCTCCCTAAATGACCATGAAATGGCAAAATGCCCATACAAGGAGTGTGATTAGCAGGTGTGTTTGATGAATTGGCAAGGCACTAAAACACAGCAATAGGTGGGAATGGGTTGACATGTTTTTTGGTTTCATAATAAGGAAACAGAACAATGTAAGCAAGCACCTCTCTTTGAGTTTCATTGTAAACAAGAAATGAAAAGATGGTAAGCTCTAGTACAGATTGCCTTGTAAGTTTGCACTCAACTGTCATTTGAAGTTACTCTGTCCAGTATGGTACTATACTATCGAGTAGAGCCGAGCATTCACATGCAACAGGTTTAGGTTAGTAAGTAGGCATAAGATTCAGATACTAATGATTACAACTCTTTTTTTATTAACACTAAAATATATTTATTAAAATGTGTCTTCCCCCCAGGAATGTGTCATCAGGTGTAGTCCACAACCCTGAACCCCCCTAGTGACTCTAATGATTACAATCAGCTTCCAAAGGCTTTCAAAACTGCTTGCAAGGAGGCAGTCAAAAATTTGCTGCACTTTGCAGCAACCTACCTTTGCTGAATAGGATTTTGCTCTCTAATGAACTTAAAAACAAAACTTGGAAATCAATTATTTTATCATACCTACAGTATCCAAATTGCTCTTAAATATATATATAAAAAAAAGCCCCAGTTCGTTGTCACTGTATCAAAATGAAACATCATTTCTACAATATTAGAAGTTAAATTTATTCTTTAATAAATATTATAGTAATTTATTAGTAGAACTTATGTTGGGCTTTTTATTGCATAAATGTATTTTCAATATAAATAGATTAAATAAAAGAATTTGAATTTAAAAATATCCTTCCTTTCAAATGGTTTTGTGGGGGGCGAGGTGGTGGTGCTAACAACATTTACGCATTAACGTCAGCATAAACCAATATATTTTGGGCTAATGGCTTAAAAAGTTCACCGATCATTGTTTCTGGCAGAGGTTTGGTATCGTGAGATGCTCACAAAGCCCTAAGCATAATAAGCGATGGGTAAAGTGAAATGCTCCCTACCCCACATTAGCTAAGCCTAATTTGTAAAAATATCAACCAATGAATGTTCTTAACACATAATTAATTTCCTTTATACACAGATTTTAACCCTGTTGTTTTACATACATAGCAAAGATTACATTTAACTATTGATATACAAAACAAAGGGCAGAGTGCAAATTTAAAAACAAATATAGGAGAATGTAGGTAAAGATAATTTCTTTATAAACAATTAGTGTGTTGAGTATAATTATTATGAAAATGAGTTTAAAAAATGACAAAATAAATGAAACCTATAAAAGTAAAAACTGAATCTTTCTGCACAGAGCTTGCTAGAGATAATTCTGTATCGGTATAGCATCTTTAATTTATCCTCAGATATATAATGCAGCGGCACTCCTGAGAACCGCGGTCCAAAATTAAAAATAGAATACTATTAGTTAGAAAGTGTCCGGCTTCCATCCTAACAGCCACCAATAATTGGTGACGTATCCATATTTTGTAAAGTCTTATGCTCTGTTTATTTTATTTTTTTTAAAACGAAGATAGCGATTTCCATCAGCATCTTCATCAGCATCATCTCCCGAAATAATTTTTTTTGTTTCAAAGAAGAAGAAAAAAAAAAGAATATGCAAGAGAGATAAAAATAATAAGTTATCTCTGCACTATTGAATTGTCACACTAGGCAAACCATACAATGCTTTTGGCGTTGGGTCATACGTTTGTAGAATGTTTCCTGACAAAACATCTGAAATATGGTATTGTTTATTTTATACTATTACTAGCAATAATTAGTCTGCAAACAAAATTTGAAGTAAAAAACTATGTCGCCAATTATCGGCTGTTATTAGGCTGGTAACCTGACTCTTTCTAATGAAAAGTATTCAATTTTTCTTTGAGTTCTGAGAGTGCCAATACAAACAGCATTCCATGACTACAACCAGTGGTCACCACCATCCCTAGTCTCCATAGTAAATTGTTAAAATGCACATATTGCATTACCAGTACCACGATAGCAAATAAAGACACTGGAAACCCAAAAATTCCAAGGGGGGAATGACCACCCGCCTTTTATACTTTATATATTTGAATTGATTTATAATATTGCATTGATTTTTATTTTAAAAGAAATTCACTTTAATTAGTCTAATTAGACCAAGGCCACTTTATTCTTCACACATTAAATCGTGTTAATTATAGATATAAAGGCATCCCTTCGCTTGTTTTGTCTAGTGCGTGGATCTACAAAGTGCTCTCATACCCGAAGTATCAGCAGACGTGAGCACCCGTTTTCAGCAGGTTGAGTGTCACCACTATCATCACTCACTCATCACAAATCCTCCCAGATTCAGGTGAAAATTATGACTTACTGTAAATTGCCTTCGTTTGAAGTATCGGCTGATTGTTGAGCGAATATGGTCATTTTTAGACCTTTTCATGATTTCGTCTTCCACAAGTGCAAACCAACCGCATAATAGCTTAATTTACAGTTTGTTTACATCAACCATCCCATTTTCTGTTCCTTGTGAAAACATAACTAAGGGGAAACAATGCAGAAAAGTTACTTCTAAAACATTGACCGATAGCGAAACGAAATGAAACATCAATTTTTAGACCTTTGTCACAGTAATAATTTATAATATAACAATAACTCGTCACTAAAATAGCGACTATGACCACCTTAATCATCGTAATAATGTTTAATTACAATTCAACTAATTATTATAACAAAAAACAAAGCTGAACTATACGTTGTTATATTAAATTATAATTTAATTGTCATCTACTCATCAAATTATACCCAGAAGTATTTAATATATATATATATATATATAATATATATATATATATACATATACACACACTTTTTAAAAACACGCTTATCCAAATGTAAACTAAAAAGTATAACATAAATGTACCCATCAGAGTTGTTACCGGGATATGACTAGAAGCTAAATAGGCGACGGCGCCCATGTAATACACGGATGTCGCATATGACTTTTTCTTGGACTTAGCTCGCTCTGTCCTCTTGTTAGCTTTTATGTGTACAGTGATCAAATCTTGCAGCTCAATTTTGACCCACTTCCCGGTCTTACAATCGAACTGAAACAAAAGAGCACCGCGTCATGTGCCAGAAGCAGCTTCTAGGACGTCTTTGACACATTCGCGTCCGTCGCATCCCGCCTTCCAACCCCCAATGCCTAACACCATCACTGAGTGGCCCTTGTAACCAGTGAAGTATCCCGTCACTTCAAAACCAATGCACAGAAACATCGCGAGCATCCTCTACAAACATAGGAGCCAGAATGATCAATACATTGATCGCCGGCCCTCAAAAAACATAGAAGAAGAAGAAGACTGCCATTGCCGGTCTCTCGCGGTCCCACCGATCTTCTCGGCTGCTGTAAGGCGCAAGGATGGGACGTCACGTCTGGTGCTTTCAACTTATGAACCAACCCCAACATCGACCCATTGGTATGGGTATTGGGGAGGGGTGGCTAATCACGAGCCACCAGGGAATGTTGGGTACTCTAAGAGGGGGAGGGGGGTGAGATAGGGTTGCTTCTTGACCATTGGCTGAGACCCAATTTTGGAGTTAACAAGACAAGTTAAAATTCTAAATTAAAATAAATAAATAAAAAATAAATCCATTTTTTTAATATTTAAAAAAATTTTTTTTTCTAGCTCTACATACATGGAATCGAGTATGTTTAAAATTATTCTAAAAACTATATTAAAAAAACAAAGTGCTGGATTCATACGCTTTATACTTTAATAACGCCTATCTCTACTTTAAAATTCATGCTTTATAGATGGAATAAAGGTTTAAAACAGATGGCACGTGTTTAATACTTAGCAGGAACTGTGTTAAAATTATAGACCTTTATATTGATGTAAGGGTAGTTTTATGGGCGCCCGCAGAAAACTTTCTAGGGGGGGGGCAAACATTTTTTAGTAATGTTTTAATGTAGTTTTAATTTACTGTAGCGTATTTGTAAGGTGAACGAACGGACAGGACATCAGCTTAGTTACTTTCTCTTTATTTTCTCTTTACTTTAATAAATTTTTTGTCTATTTTTGTCTAAAACTTTTTGTATCCAATCAATCCAGGGGACGGGGCAAGTGCCCCCCCCCCCTTGCGTGCGCCCATGACCGTGTTAAATTCTTTAAACTTGTGAAGTTATACAAAAATACCGACATATACGAACAACAGGAAGTAAGACTTTTGGGTTCTAATCAGGAACGGACAATTTTTCGGGACAATAGGATGAGGGCCGTCTTAACAATATAGAAGGCCATGGGGAAAGCTAAGCACCGGGGCCCCTTAACAAAACAACCCACCAGGGCCATGGGAGGTGGGGGGGCAGACACCCCAGGCGCAAACAGCGGGGTGGGGGAGGGTTCCGCACATAGTTCCTGCTCCCCACCAACTGGAATAAATGTAAAAATAACAAAACAAAGTTCAATAAAGTTAAAAACATGGATTCATTCAATGTATTGTTAGACAAAAAATAAAAAAAAAAAAATAATAATAATTCAAAATCAATAATAGTTTTGAAACATTATCAGAAATAAACTATAATTAATCACAGATGATGTTAAAGTGTGATTATTGACAGATAAGTAGAATAAACTATTTATTATAAATCAACATACTCGCTTACGGTAGGCCTAATGTCTTGCCAGATCATTATTTTACTATTGTTTTAAAGTCAATGGTCTGAAGGGAGTCATTCCCCATCCATGCACATGAGTGACAGCGAGTTGAAACGTTGTTGTTCCAATGAACTGCGAGGTGACAGCGAGTTGAAACGTTGTTGTTCCAATGAACTGCGAGGTGACAGCGAGTTGAAACGTTGTTGTTCCAATGAACTGCGAAGTTGTTTCGTTATGAGCGTCAATCTTGGCAATGAACATTCTCCCTGTACAGTTGGTTTTCCAAGGACGCGAGCACTCCGAGTGCAATTAGAACATTAGGGGGATACACGTTTCAAGTAGTCTGTAATTATTTGTTCGTACGACGCAGGGTTAGTGGTCACAATTTTCATCAAGAACCAGAGTGTTCTTGAGATGCTTGCATTCATTTAATAGGAAATCCTTATTAAGGTCTTCGTGATGCATATTAGCTAGAGCGTCACACTTGTTATTTAGCCCTTCGGAATAAATTGTTTTAATTTAGGAAAGGAAAAAAAACAACAAACGACAGCTTTCCAATCCAAGAATAAGTTTGTGTACGTTGTGTCATGGTCAGAGCTCAGGGAGTCCAAAAATGGGGAGAAATGCACCGATCTTGAAGTTTCACTTGTAGCATTTTTAGATAGATCTGTCTCTTCTTCTGGTTCATCATATCTAATAAGTCACAGATCTGTCTCTTCTTCTGGTTCATCATGTCTACTAAGTCACAGATCTGTATCTTCTTCTGGTTCATCATGTCTACTAAGTCACAGATCTGTCTCTTCTTCTGGTTCATCATGTCTACTAAGTCAAAGATGTGTATCTTCTTCTGGTTCATCATGTCTACTAAGTCACAGATCTGTTTCTTCTTCTGGTTCATCATGTCTACTAAGTCACAGATCTGTCTCATCTTCTGGTCCATCATGTCTACTAAGTCACAGATCTGTCTCTTCTTCTGGTTCATCATGTCTACTAAGTCACAGATCTGTATCTTCTTCTGGTTCATCATGTCTACTAAGTCACAGATCTGTCTCTTCTTCTGGTTCATCATGTCTACTAAGTCAAAGATGTGTATCTTCTTCTGGTTCATCATGTCTACTAAGTCACAGATCTGTTTCTTCTTCTGGTTCATCATGTCTACTAAGTCACAGATCTGTCTCATCTTCTGGTCCATCATGTCTACTAAGTCACAGATCTGTCTCTTCTTCTGGTTCATCATGTCTACGACGACATAGATTTGATTTGATATTTATATGGCGCTGGTATCCAAGCTACTTTAGCATGCCCACTGCGCTCTGGTTTTCTTAAATCTATTTAAACAAAAAAGTTTTAAAATGTATCTTAAATGATTTTTTATCAATTTCAATTCACCTTAGAGATTGAGGCAAACCGTTCCATAATTTTGGCGCTATCGCTTCAAAAGAGCGCACTCCGTAAGACTTCTTTCTGTGTTTATCCACACTGGGAACTCTCAGTAAGCACTGTGTTGAAGACCGCTGGCTCTTCACGGATACATGTTTATAAATCAGTTCTTTAAGATTTTCCGGTGCAGAGCCTTCATGCAGCTGTACGCCAGGGACAGAATTTTTTAGTTAATGCGCTCACTCACAGGAACCCAATGGAGATCTCGTAGACCAACTGTTATAGTAATCAAATATTGACTGGATTAGAGTGTTACCGCTACGGCATTTGCTGCTCTCTTATTGAGATCTGTCTCTTCTTCTGGTCCATCATATCTACTAAGACATAGATCTGTCTCTTCTTCTGGTCCATCATATTTACTAAGACATAGATCTGTCTCTTCTTCTGGTCCATCAAATCTACTAAGACATAGATCTGTCTCATCTTCTGGTCCATCAAATCTACTAAGACATAGATCTGTCTCATCTTCTGGTCCATCAAATCTACTAAGACATAGATCTGCCTCTTCCTCTCTTATGGCAAGATGTATGTCAACATGTTTTGACTGCATGACTTCACTTGCTATGTTCAATCTTTCCAGAATGTCATTCTAAAGAATTGTCAGAATGATCGTTTCCAGGTTCTTCATTTTCTTGCTTAGTTCTTCTGCCGCAACCGTCGTATTCACTTCCTGATCAGTGCCTGCTGATATAGAGTGCAGCGCAGCTTGAATTTTTTGGAATCCTTCATGCAGACCATTGACGGCATCACAATATGACAACCATTTTGTGTCAGACAGACTCTTTAGATGAGAGATTTTCCTAAAGATGTTACCAGAACATTCCATCGATGTGTAGAAGCTGAGGAAAAGGAATATAGACGATGGACAAAGGATTGTCCAACTTGTGGACAACACTCTGCTGCTTTTAAAACCACTAAGTTCAGGCTGTGTCCAGCACAAGGGACAATGTTGTTGTATCCGCGCGTGCAATCCAGTGGAGCGTCCAGTCATCTTTGAAGCATTGTCAAACGTTTGACCACAGCAGTTTTATAGTGGAATTTAGTTCTCATTTCTAGAAATCCACAAGTGTCTGCAAGATCCTTTGATACACTACAGTGTCTGCTAGATCCTTTGATACACTACAGTGTCTGCAAGATCCTTTGATACACTACAGTGTCTGCAAGATCCTTTGATAAACTACAGCGTCTGCTAGATCCTTTAATACATCGTCTGCTAGATCCTTTGATACACTACAGTGTCTGCAAGATCCTTTGATACACTACAGTGTCTGCTAGATCCTTTGATACACAACAGTGTCTGCTAGATCCTTTGATACACTACAGTGTCTGCTAGATCCTTTGATAAACTACAGCGTCTGCTAGATCCTTTAATACATCGTCTGCTAGATCCTTTGATACACTACAGTGTCTGCAAGATCCTTTGATACACTACAGTGTCTGCTAGATCCTTTG